TTTACCCGGCCGGAACCGCTAGAGTTCTGCGTGAGGTTTAAGGACGAACCAATAACCATAACGAAAAAGTTTTTTTTTGATAATAAGTTTCGTTATTAAAAAAAAAAAACCTATAAACACAACTTGTAAAAAGTAAAATAATTATTAATATCGATATGTGAAAAAATTACGATTGTTTACATTGTCGATCATCTCTATCTACCAATAATATTTCAGAAAAATTTTTTTCGTGATTGTTGATCACCTGGCTCGAGTATTATCATACGTATCTGTATTATATCTATGTTGGTGACACAAGCCGAAAATTCTATTTTCACCCGGTTTAAAGTCACCCGATAGACTATAACTGATAATAACGTTCGCGTGACTAAAATTAATAGTATTAGTAGGCTCTAACAAAAATTCATTGTAAAATTTTGCATATGCTAATGCCTAGATAAAATCCCAGGCTAAAGTAAATTGGTAACTTAACCCGGGTAAAAATAGAAATTTCATTCATCCAAAGATAGGCCGGTAAGTTACTATAACCTTGGGTAAGTTACCGAATTACTGCGGAGTTAAAAGCGGCTTTTAATACTAAGAGGTAGATTATGAATGAAATTCTGGCCAAAATTATAAAAAAATTTTGATTGGTCAATCTATGATCTCGGCTGTATAATTTTTAACATGTGATCATTTTTTAAAATTCAATAGGAATATAAAGAGATTACACCTTTTAACGGTTAACATTAAAAATTCCAAATACCGATACGATACCAAGAAATACCAAGTATTCTTTTAAACAAATAAAGCATAATAATGTACCAGAAGTTTTCGTTACCAATTGATTTCCCTTTAGACTTCAATCTTCCAAATAAAGAAGCACCTGAAGAGTGTGATGTGAATCAGCAATCTGTAATCGTTAACCTTTTCAGTGGCAGGAAACCAGTATGCCTACATTTTCCAACTGCTGCTTGCATTAAAATCTTCGATTTGAAGCAGATCATCTTCAATCGTATGTTGATTGATCCTGAAGAACAACAATATTACACACTGGCTGGAAAATGGCTGGGTGATTCTATTCAAGTGTTTGAATCCGAAGATGTAGAGTTCGTGACTTTAAATCTTAAACTTCGATTATCTGGCGGTAA